AATTTTAATTTCCCGTTTGATCTTCTTCTTCTTGACAGGCTGAGGAGCAGAAACCAGGATTTAACCAACAGGGAAACGAAATGAGAGGAAGCTCTGGCTTAGCCTGAAGCCTGGAAAGGCTGGTCATGTTCACATGTTCAACGTTTAAACAGTTTCACAAAGAAAAACCGAAAAAATACGACAAACCCGAGTCTGAGCAGAACAGTTTCCCCTGATTCTTAAATCAAACTCAGCCTGACTGAACGTTTGGTTTTCTGCTACCTGCCGGGTTTGACATCCAGGTTTTGCTTTATTTGGTAATTTGGTGATTTCAGGAGCCTAAAAAAGCTAACTGGTGTCGGACACAGATTAAATAGCAGCTTTTATTTGTAAATGTTCAGTTTAAAAGTACTTGTTTCCGTTTCCTGATTCTCATTCATCTGCAGCAGTGAGGATGAGGATGATGAAGAGTTCTCACCTTGAGGATTTTCACCACCACCTTCTCGTTGTTTGTAACGTTTATCGCCTCAAACACTTCGCTGTACTTCCCTCGGCCCAGTTTGCGCACCAGCTGGTAGGTGTCTTGGTTGCTGAGAAGAGCAGAAACAACTCGCTGTTACCATGACAACGACGTCCTTGCGGCGCTGCTCGGTGCGCCGCCTCACCTCCAGTTTGGCACGTGTGCGTCGTAGTCCCAGTACTCCCGGTTCTTCTGCGTGTTGACGTCGGTGTAAACCCGAGCCTTGCTGCTGGCCGGCGAGGATCCGGGCATCGCTGGCGTTGAGGCTCCGCGTCCCGGACCGTCTCCTCCCTCGTAATACTCGTCGGCTCGATAGCGGAAAGCAGCGCAGCGGCTGTGCAGGGTCTGCGGCTCTAAGGTCGCCCCGCTGTGCTTACCATTGGCTTTGGCGGCTCGAGGCCTGACAGGGAAGGCGGCGGGCCGGTCCGGGGCGGCCGCGGTGCAGAACGACAACGCTACGATCACTGAGTGAGTGAAGCTCCTGAGCAGGATATTGGGAAGGATGGGATGGAGAACCGCCAGCTGCAGGGAGAAACAGGAGGCCTTACAGTCCGCCTGGAGGAACACCATCTGACCACTCAAAACATTTTATTTACACTGAAGAAGACGACATCCACCAGCACGCACTGTCAAACTGTGAGCTATGGGCGCCACCTGGTGGTCATCATGGTACTGCATGTAAACTAATGTTTATGTTTAAAATTGATAAAGGATGCATATGTCCAGCCCTGGTCACTGAAAAGCTGAAGATACCGGTGGACAGAAAACAAATCCAGAACCGTCACCATACGTTCTGCTGGACGATACATTGTCCCAGAAGTTATTGCAATAAACGATAATATTGTTGGTTTGAGACCATTTTCAAGCAACATATTCTAAGATCAATAAACTTTCACTTCTAGTGAACATTTAACACTGGAAGATATTTTAAATATCGCAAACAAATAAACAAATAAAATGAATTATGAAGTCTCTGCAAACAAAATCATTCTTCAAAAAAAGCCTAGTTGAGACCAAAACACCAGACCCAAGACTTTCATCATCCAGCTGTTGGTAGAAAGAGAAAAATGATGAATCATGGAAACTGAAATTAAAGAGCAGTTTTCATTTATTATGCAATTAATGGATTTATTTCTTATTGCAATAAGCAATAAGAAATGTATGTCTGCAGGAATATTTTTCAGTTTCTCTGAGTGAGATGTAGAACATTTTTATAACACTATAATGTTATATAGCATGACACCGGCACGCTGTGCTGAGTGTCGCTGCGCCCCGCGCTGACTAACTGGCGAAAAGGTGATCGATTAAATAATTAAACGCTTCATTCTTGGCATTTAAAACAGATATTATTATGTTACTGATTTGTTTTCTCTCAGTCTGTGAAAACCAAAATTAGATCAACTTAAAGGTACATCTTAAAAAATAATGAACTTTAAAAACACATGTTCTCAATCTATAAATAAATCAAACTTGATTTGACTTCAGGTGGGAAGATTCTGGATTAAATCTAATTCATATCTGTCTGAACGGAACGATGGATAATGGTGAAACTAACACCTATTAATAATATTTGATCTAATTTCCAAAATTCTTGTTTCAAAACCTCTTTCTTGACAAAAAAAAGTGTGGACAGTTAAAGTTAGCGAGCTGGTTTAGAAAAACAGTCAAAAAATATAAAATAAATCACAAAACAGTGAGATTATCCATTAGCATCATATCTAAACACTGCAACCATCACAACTACAGACTGTCAAAGATCCAGGTTTCCACAGTTTGAATGTGTAAACAGCAGTGCAGTGACACATGACCTCATGACTGGCTTAAATCAAAACAGGCAGGTAAACAGTCTAACTGTAATGACCAATTCTTAGTCCAGATGTGTGAGGATGGTTTTGTTTTGTCTTACTGCTTCTGGATATTTTGGGGTTTTATTGCAATAAAACAAAACAAATCTTAGCAAATATCAATGAAGCCAACCAGGTATGAATGGACAAGAGAAAACAACTACAGTATGGAAAACATGGGCCTATTTAAGCTTAAAATCAAGTTAAATTAATATGCAGCTGGATGAAATTCCTTTGAGCCTCATTATGAGCTGTTAACCACTTCATATTATGAATCTTTATAAAAATATTTATACAAATAAGTACTATAAGAAATCGGATTTGGTAACTTCTGATTTAATTTGAATGATGCTTTCTATTTCTACTCAAACAGAGAGAAACAGACGCGCCTTTTAACCGTTATGAACTGATAATGCTCAGTTAAATTGCTGTAATTAAAGCATCTTTTCGGGCAGATTTCTCATTTTAAGTCCTGTTTCTGGGCCTTTTAACGCTCAATCATCGTCTGGTTTCTCTTCAGTCTGAAAAGCTATTTTATTTTGCATCTGAATTCGGGTTTTGGTGAGAATCAAAGTGAAAACCCATCCATAACACCGGGGACTAGTCGTAACTCTGAGGCGGGATTAGTTAGCATTATCTGTGATGAACTCAACCAGCGCTAACCAGGCTAACTAGTAACGGTAGCCTAGCCGCATAAAACCGCTCAAAAAGCGCAAAGTTTCACCCAGAACTGTGGCGTGACAGAGAAAATACACCAGCTAGACTCACCTGGGTGTCCCCACGCAGCTCAAACCGATCACACTATCAATCAATTTGATCGATTAGTGGCGTAGTTTCTGTAAGCTGAGAGAGAAGCTAAAGCTAGCTGCTAACCTCGAGCGCAGAGAGGCTCCTCCGTCATCAACGGTCGTTCGCTCGCGACTCGCGCTGCGCTGTCCTCGCGGCGATACGAGCCGAACTTGGGTTTCCAGATGATCGATGAGGTGATTGGCTTATTGATCCCGGCAGATGGGCGGTGGTGGAGGTGTCTCCATCAGGGGCTGCTCTTCACCTCTGCAGTCAACATCACCCGGAAGCGAACCGCGCAGAGGATCCATCACCACAAACAGCAAAAACATTCAATTTACCATTTAAATCAGAAACTAAATGATTTAAATCTGTTTCTCAATAAAATACGGTTTAAAAATGAGGGTTTAATTAGAAATGACCTACTACTAAATGTTCAAATTAAATATGCAAAATTGTATTTAATTTTTTAACTTATGTTTTTAAAATGTAGACATGTACTACATATATGGAGACATATACGAGAAAATGTCAGATTTTGTAAGTATATTTATATATATATATATATACACACACACTCATATGCATTTTAAAGACTGTCGATTGATTAAAAATATTTAATGAAAGGATGTTTGGTTTAGGTGAGGAAACTGTTAAAAATGTCTGGACAACCAAACAATAATAGCATGTTGTCCACAGTTGAGTATGAATGAATTGCAAATTGTTTTTATTATTACCATTTTTATAAAGATAATTATCATTTATGCATGTTCTTGACGCAAAAGATCCCAGTAAAACAAAAACTAAAAAAAAATGAAATAAAATTGAAGTTTCTTGTTGACAAAATGGTGGATAAATGTTTTACAGAATTTTGCAGAGGCGGAGCAGCTTATCATAAGGGCGGTTTATTTTAATATACAGTATGAACAGGGTTTATAATGATATTCTTACGCTTCGATAAAGTCCAACTGGAGCTTCTGAAGCGGACTCACCAGGATTCAAACCATGGCACTCAGTCCCACCCTGTAAACCCCTCAAGTCCACGACTCCAAAATCTTTCCTTTAAATATACTGCAAAGATTGTACAGAATATAAATCCACACAGTAAACTAAAGTACACACATATTTTTCTCTTTTTTCTTACCTTTATCCTTGGTAAAAACCAACACATAAGTGGCAAGTTTTACTCTGATTTTTAAGTCCTGTTGGACCAGGAGGAGGCTAGGATTCAGTGGAGACAATACAAGGCCAATTCTTAAAAACAAATAACAATACTCAATAATAATAATAATAATATCAATAATAATAATAACTTTTGTTATATCTAAAACTAATGCAACTACATCTGTGGCAAGTGAGCAACATAATGCTTCGTGGGGTTAAACCTTGTGATATTTCCGGTGGAAATGAAGCTCATTCAGAGTGAATAAAAAAGCAGGTAACATAAGCACTATACAGTTGTCAGAGTTTACATCGCGTATACACACAATCTATAATATAACAGAGTAGACTATTCCATGAATCAGTAGTCATAAATATTACACTGTGCATATTGCACAAGTCAAGTGTTTCTACGACATGATAGGTACGCGGATTAGTTACCTACATGTCGCTTGTTTTAATACAAAGATGCAACAACACAGATTTTATAGGAGACGGGCTGTACAGTTTCACAAATCCATGTGAAGTCTTTTCTTCTTCTTCTTCCTCTGAGGATGTCCTAAATAAAGCAAAGCTATCATACAATTATACTAATGTGGGAGAAGAATCCATGCACAAACAGATGGATCTACGTTCTACTGACGTGTTTGCTTTCAGCTTCACCGGACGTTAAATAAAAAAAACGAGTGAGCAGGAAGAAAAACTAATAATAATAATAATAACAACAATAATAAGAATAATAAAAGGCACATGGATTGAAGAGGAGTCGACACAAATGGGATGACTGTCTGGAAACGAGAGCCATCGTTCTCAACAACGGTTACGGAACAAACAACCACATGCAACCACAGACTACGGTCCCAGACTTTACAGAGAAAACCGTCCAACTTTCACATCAATTTCTTTCTGCTCTAGTTTTTGTTCTTCAAAAAGAAGAGGGATCCCGGCTCCTTACGGCGGCGACTGAGGGACGATGGAGATGGAAAGCGCAAGAGGAGGAGTAAATTTACGCCACAAAACTTAAGAAATTTTGAGTAAAAACTGGAATTTTTCTGAAAAATTAATGGAATTCACTGAGGTCCAAAATTTATTTGCAAAAAACAAACTAAGGAACTTTGTAATTAAAAAAAAACAAAAAAAGTATTTAATTTCAGAGCTTTGAAAGTCAAAAGTTGAGCTGTTTTGTTGTGTTTTTGTTTTTTTGCAAACTTTTGTCTTTGAGCTTGGAAATCTACATGTGAAATTCAACATTTTTGAGTTTCTCTTTGCAAATTTTCAATTTTGAGCTTCGACATTTCAGTGCGTTTCTCAAATTTATAATTTTTTTTTCTCTCAAACTTTTAAGTTTTGGAGCTCAGAAATGTTCAAATTTTTTTGTAACATTTCTGATATTAATTTAAAAATTTTCTGGGCAGAAATCTACTCTCCCCCTATCTACGATGCTCGTAATGCGCCGCCGTACGATTCCCCCCTCTGTGTCTTGGATTAACTGGGAGTGTTTTCGGGGTTCATTGGATGCACGGCGCTTCGGGGAAGTTCTCGTTCTCCGCTGTGTGCTGCACCGTGTGCTCCTGCAGCGCTGTGAGGTCGACGAAGCGCTCCCCACACCACACGCATTTAAACTGCGTCTCCCGTGAATGCACGCTCTGGTGCTTGGCCAGGTGCTCCCGCTGCTTGAAGCTCTTGTCACAGTTGGCGCATTTGAAGGGCTTCTCGCCCGTGTGGACCCGGCGGTGCCGCTGCAGCTCTGAGGAGTACCTGAAGCGCTTCTCGCAGTCGGGACACTTCAGCGGCTTCTCCCGCGTCGGGTCGCAGCGGTGCTGGACAAACTCGGATGACGACACGAAGCGCTTGTCGCACAGAGAGCACTTGAGCGGCTTCTCCGTGCAGTGAGTGCTTTGGTGCCGCTGCAGCGTGGAATTCTTTTTGTAACCTTTGCCGCACACGTCGCATTTGTACGGCTTTTCCACCTCACCACCACATTTGTGCCGCAGCAGCTCCCCCGACTGGCTGAAGGACTTCTGGCAGGATGCGCATTTGAAGAGCGACTCCATGCCATGGACCTGCTGGTGGTAGAGCAGATGCGACGGCTGCAGGAAGCCCTTGTCGCAGAGGTTGCACTTGAACGGCCGGTCGGCGGGGTTCTTGTGCGTGCGGCGGTGGCGCACCAGAGCGTACTGCTGCTTGAAGCTCATCTGGCACTCGTCGCATTGGAAAGGGCGCTCCTCGGAGTGCGTGCGCTCATGCTGCCGCAGGTCGGACGGCCGCTTGAAGCTCTTCCCGCACGAGCCACAGCGGAACGGCCTCTCGCTCTCCGGCTGGCACTGGTGGTGCAGGAGCTCCGACGACTCTTTGAAGTGCATCTCGCATAAATTGCACTTGAACAGGTGTTCGCCCGAATGCGCGTACATGTGCCGCACCAGGTGGGAGCGGTGTTTGAAGCTCTTCTCGCATACAGCGCACTTGTACGGCCGCTCGGAGCTGTGCGTGCGCTGGTGGTGCGCCAGATGCGATGACTGGCTGAAGCTTTTGTCGCACGTGTCGCATTTGTATGGCTTCTCCCCCGTGTGGATCCGCTCGTGGCGCGTCAGCTCCGACGATGGCGGAAGGACTTGTGGCACACGGAGCACTTGTACGGCCGGTCGGGTGCAGATGCCTCAAACGTTGGCGGTGAGGCGGCACTGATGACCGCACCGCCGCCGGAACTCTCGCCGCTGGAGGGCTGCTGCGGATTGGCAGCAGACGAGGTGGGCGTGACGTTCCCAGATCCAGGCCGGTACGTCTTCTCGCATATGGAGCACTTCATCGGGTTGTTACCGTGCGAGTTATGATGCTGTGCCAGCGAGGTAAGCAACGAGAAGCCCATTTTGCAGACACCGCACACGAACGGCTTCTGCTCCACCTGAACGCACTGGTGCTCCAACAAGTCGGTCGCCTGACTGAAGATCTTCATGCACTGCGTGCACTGGAAGGAGCGGTCCTGCGTCACCATGCACTGGTGCTCGTGTGGGTTGGCCAGGTGGGAAATGTCGTGGCCGCAGGCGCCGCATTTATGCCCTCTGTCGGCCCCTACCTGCAAGGAGGCCTGCTGCGCTTGGACAACGTGCTGCTGCTGATGCTGAGGCTGCTGCAGGGAGGCGTCTGGCTGCAGGACGACACCGTACACGGTGCAGCTCAGAGAGTTGTCGCCTGCCTGAGGGAGAGTGTGCACAACAGAGGGTGGAGCCACTGCATGCTGCTGCTGCTGCTGCTGCCATGCTTCCGTCATCCTGGATGCAGGGAGGATTATATCCCAAATTTGACACAAGGACGGATGCAGCTGCAGGAAAGTCTTTAATGGATCGCTCAGTGTCTGGAGAAATCCTGGAGGGGGGCGCATAGTAAAGAGAAAAATAAATAAACAAAATAGCATGAAATAATGTAAGTATTTAAACCAAAACAATGTCAAACAAAGTCATAATAAATTCAATGTGATATAAAAAATGAATAAAATACTTGTAAACAACTGTGCTAAGTGTTATTTCTGTTTGCAGCTCACGACTGTTTGATCTTAGGAGTAAAGAAAACCCTTGAGGTGTCACTTCGTCAAAGTAGCTTTCGCTCCAGAAAGAAAACAGAATCAATGGGCTCGGTCTATTTCCTGGAGCGCTAATCGGACGTTTAAGGTTCTAATTTTTGATACACTTTTAAATTTGGGTTTTTGTAAAAGTGCTAATAACAACGCTCGTTGTTTGAAGATGTGATTTCTTTCACGGTTTCAGAGTTAGCCATAAAACGTTTGTGTTGTAGGATGTAGTTCGATGTTAGCATGCTAGCTGCTAACGGCTGAAGCTTCCTCTCATTTGAAAAAATAAAAGGAGAATAACATCCGGGGTTTCAAAGTGATCAAGTACAAAAACAAGCCGTTTTCTAACTATGACGGGCGTCTGGAGCGCTGCAGCTTGTAAGCGACACGGCGGAAGCTGGATGAACGGCTGGTTTGAAGCGAGGCTAAGTGGCGGAGGGAGCCCACATCAGAGCAGGCCTTTCCGGAGCTGCAGGGGGAAAAATCCGCCTCCTGCAGCCGAGCCTCCTCGCATCCGCTAAAACGAACAAACCCGCAACCGGAGCCACAACGGTCCGCCAGAACTCACCGTAGTTCCTTATCGACGCTCCTTGTCGCAGTCTCTAGTTTGCGCTCGGTAACCGTGGGTGTTTTCGGTTCTCAGACCGGCGGCGGCGGAGGGGATGCGGTCGAAGCCGGACGCCATCCTCCAGCAGACGGACGGACACCGGAAACCGCCACGCAGCGACCCGCTGCCGCTGTACTGCAGCAGCTACAGCCGCTTCATGTCGGAGGAGAGCCTGCAAGTGGCTAAAAAGGAGCTCCGGCGGCAATAATCGCCTTTCAGCTTCCGTAAAATTGCTTTCAAACTCGCACAAAGGCGAACTGGAGCTGGTGAAAATAATACGAGGTGCAGTTCCAGCTTTTGAACACCAGGGGTCGCTGTATTGCCCAATGTAACCGCAACCAAGTTAAAAACGACTCAGTTGTTTTAAAGTCCTGCTGCTTTTTTCCTGTTTGTAAACCAATAACAAAGTTTAACTTCTCAAGATGGTTACAATTCCTCATTTTCAGATTTTAGTTATTTTTCGTGGAGAAGTTCTCATGAAGTTAATACTTAATTTTCCTACAACTTTATTCTGGTAATATTACGAAATTATACTGTTGATATGTGTTGATATGTCCCAAAGACTTTATTGTGTTATTACAATAAAGTCTTTATTGGGGGAATCTGTTCATATGATTCCCCCAATAAAATTATAGCTCTATTATTGTATTATAACAAATTTATTATGGCCAAATGATGACATTATTCTAGTATTATTCCAACTTTATTCTAAAATTGCTAAAATTACGACTTTATTCTGGTGAGATTACAGCTTTACTCTGATAAAATTATAACTTCTCATATTTTCACGACTGTCGGTAAAATTATAAATGTATTCTGGCATTATCAGTTTTTGTCCTTGTATTATTTATGACATTCTCTGTATCTGTCGGTCCTGACACTTGTTTGACTAAGAAATAGTCATACTTTTTTTTATTTTGTCAGGTTAAAACCACAAACTTTGACGTACCTCACTGGACTTTTATACTTAAGACCAAAACAAAGTGGTGCCTAATAGAGAAGTGGAAGAAAATTGGAACATTATTTGCAAACCTTATAATGAATGGAGATTTGAAAAGTGTGGTGTAGGAGCTATTTTTAATCAGCTAATAACTGATCACCACAGACAGGCTCCTGGATATATGAATGATATAACAACACATTTTCCCCTCTCAATTATTAAGGTTGCTATTGGTTTTGAAATAATCTTGTAGCAAAAGTTCTGTTTAGTTTGGGTTTCTGTCCCATTTCTTTGAGGATTTTCTAGTATGAACAGCTCTGAGACTTGTTTCAAGTGTGTTTAAAATTTTTATGCTTTTATTTCACCGTTTGAGATTTGTGAAACTTTTACTTAAGTTAAAAAGGGTATTCTATGAAATATTGCATATCATATCTACCTAATTCCGTAAACGGTAGAAGCAGAATTTTTCATTAGCTTCTACTAAATACTGTGTTGATATAGGACGTTAGCATCAGCTGTGTTGTCATATGCTTCAGCTTTAGCAGAGCTGATGCTTTAAGATTAGCACAAATCACTTTTAGCTAGCACCACTGGCAAAACTGAAAAAATAAGTTAAACGGGGGAAATCATGCTAGCACTTCAGATCAGTTGAAGTTGAGTTGATTTTGTGTTAGCTGTTTGTTTTTGAAAAGCTACAAATTAATAATATTTTTCCCCTGACTGAGCTTCACTGGGTGTGTTTGGATCTGTGTAGAGGAGAAGAATCGGGGGCTCGTCCCGGACGGGAACATGTAAATGATGTCAAAATTATCTTATGTAATGTTTTAACGAGCTGTGCACACCACTGGCAAAAAAAGAAGGCATCGATATTGGGGGAATATTATCAGGGCACTTCAGATGATTTAAAGTTGGCTTGATAACATTTTAGTGGTTTATTTTTCTGAAAAGTTACAAATTTATATTTTTTTCTCTGACAGATTCATTTCATGCGGAGCAGCAGAATTGGTTATGCCAAAATTACATTTTTGCTCGAGGCTTGTAGTTTTTCAAGGGCAAATATAATTTGAGCAGAAGTTAACGCTTTAGCATTAGCTGCCACAAATACGGGTGATGTTACAGCTAATGCTACAGTGTGGATATAGCACTTTAGCATTAGCTTTCATTGAATACTGTGCTAGTGTAGTATATAGCAGAATTGGGGGCTCGTCCAGGATTTGTTGAAACCGGAAGTATACCAGACTGAAACAATAACCACACCAAGTCTGTTAATTTCAAACATTATATTATTTTCTCCACGTTGACTTTGAAACAACCTCATAAACCAAAGAGTAAGAAAGAGCATGCTCGGGCATGCAATGATGTCACAACATGATGATGCCACCGGGTGCGAAGTATAAAACATACAGTAGCAGAGAGTTTGTTCTTCGTATCATTCAGAAACTCGGGGACGTCTTGGTACCCGCTGAGAGGTAAAAGCTAGCGTTTATTTTACACCGCCCTCTGCGCCCAGCCCTGCCCCGCCGAGAGGGGAGGAGCTCACAGACCGACACCAGATTGAGCAGGCTAAACAAACATGCTGGAAGGAAGTAAATAAATAAATATATAATTAAAATAAATACATAAATCTCATCCGGACCAGAGTGTGTCTGAAAATGACGCGACTGATCCAAAGAGGAGGGGTGGCGAGGAGAGACAAAACAGTGCATGCCATTTTAGGATAAAGACGGGAGGCGGAGCTCTCCTCTAAGCCCTGCCCACATTTAGTGTTTTTTTTTTTGTGTGTTTTGTTTGTTTGTGTTTTAAATCACGGTCCGGTTAGAAATTAACATTTCAGAGGGGGAATGAATAAATACGAGGCACTCAGCATTCTCTCTTGTCTTGCAAACTGCAAAAAGTAACAAATTCAGATAATAATGACACATCGACATATATATTAGAATTAGTGGTTATAACATAACAGTCTCCAGGCTGTACAAAGGGGCTGAAACCTCCTCGGTTACTTTATTCTCTGCGTGCTGATGTGTGTGTGTGTGTGTGTGTGTGTGTGTGTGTGTGTGTGTGTGTGCGTGTGTGTGTTTGGAAGTATTAATCCCACCCACTTTTATTCTTCATCGTAAATTCAAGCGTGTGCTTGCGTCCGATTCGGGGAATCAAAACGCGAATGACGGATGAAATGCGGGGAGGGCGGAACCGAGGCGATTTAAAGGGATAGAAACACAGCCTCATGCAACGGCTGAAAACAAAAAGATGATGACAGAGCCCTTTAAAATGGATCTACTCTTGCAGCATAGTTTTGTACGTAGCGCATAGTGCCGATAGACTGGAGAGGGAGGAAGGGGTTAAAGGATGGAGAGTGAGCCATGCTCTTGGCCAGCACGATCCTCATGGTAACCAGGAAACAAGGGTTGCTATATTCTTGTGTAGACCGGCGCCACCTTGAGTCCGTCGGCGATGGACACCCATGCATGTCCCGGTTATTAAAGCTGCTCTGTTGTCTCAAAAAGCGTCTTCCTCCTCGTGTTTGCAAGCTCAAAACAAGCGTCTGGAAAAAACAGGGAGGAGAAAACCGAAACGGGAGAGACCAACGATATAAAGGCTCTGCTGCGTCCGGTCCGTCTCAGTTAGTAACAATATAATATACCGTAGTCATCAATAAATCTTAGATTATAACTGCATAATGTTTTAAATAAAGAAGTGGATGAAAAGAATGGCTACTCCAATATTGAGTAAAATGACCAAAACCACCAAATAGAGCTGGAGCCCTGAAAGACAAAACAAGAGAAGAAGGAACAATTAGTTCACCTTGTTATTGGGATCTAACAGCATAAATATTGGTTTTACATTTTCCAGAAACAGAAATAAGGTTTTATTTTTCCCCAAAATTGTTGGATGAATTTGTGATTATTTCATTATGTGATTAAATGGGCAAATTTAATGGCTCTCAAAGGTTGAAATTGTAGCTCAACTATAATCCACACTGCATGTTTGGTGTTAATTTTAAGGAAAAAACACATTTTCTAAAAAACAACAACAACAACAACAAAACAAGGCAGTTTGTGAGTTAAAAAAAGTTTGAGATTTATGAGAAATAACTCAATGATTGAGATTAATTTTCAAGAAAAAAAAGGTATTTTTGAGGTTGTGAAATAAAAATTCCCAATATTTTTCTAGAAAACGTATGAGATTTTTTGGCAGAAATATATTTTGTTTTTCTATCTTGAATGGCCTTAAAATGCAGTTGCAAAAAATTAATTCAACAAGTGGATAATTTATCCCTTAACGTAATGGAAAGGTCGGCCATCTTGATGCAATAGAAAACAGTTCCTAAGGAAATGGCTGCTTAACTAATCTAACAGTTGACAGGCAGTGGCTCTCAATAATCGTGGATTATGTAACGCAGCAGGCTTGGCGTTAACCTGAGGGAAGAGGACTCACTGAGTTTGATTTGAGAGCCAGATGCTCTCCGTCTTGCTCCAGAGTGATGGGCTGAGACTTTAGGGGGGGGAGAGGGTGAGGTCCCTGTGCAGCGGCCACTCCTCCAGCTCCGGCCCCACATTCAGGTTGTCCAGCATCTGCACAGAGTCCGTGGAACCCTCCCGGACCGGCCGAAGGCCCCGCGACCGCAGCCGGTTGTTCTTGGGCGCCGGCGACTCCGGACAGTGCAGCCTCATGTCGACTGTGTAGTCGTTCATCCGCTCCTCGTCCTGCTCTGTGAGGCGGGAGTGGGCGGGGCTCCAGCGCAGCGTGCTTTCGGCCGTCCAGCCCCCGCCGAGGCCGTCCAGCCGCTGGTCGATGACGGCGTGCTCCGTCAGCTTGTGGTTGGAGGGGTTGTGCTGCTTCGGATGGTGGTTGGAGTAGACATGCTCTCGGGCGTTGGCGCTGGAAGAAACATGGTCCTTTGCGTGGTGATTGGAGGAGATATATTCCTGGGGCTTGTGATTGGAAGAAGCATGCTCAGAAGTCTTGTGATTGGATATGTTGTGTTCGAAGGCCTTGTGATTGGATAAGATGTGGACCTGCGGCTTGTAGTTGGAAGAGGTGTTCTCACAGGCCTTGTGATTGGTGGAGGAATGATCCCATGTCTTGTGATTGGACGACGAGTACTCCCTCGACTTGTGATTGGAGCTGGCATGCTTGGACGGCTTCTGGTTGGGCAGGGAGTGCTCCCACGCCCTGTAGTCCCGCGGCTTGTGATTGGACGAGGGTTTCTCCCGGGGTTTGTGATTGGACAGAGGGGCTTGCTCGTGGCCGTTGATGTGGTCTCCTGCTCCTCCAGGAGAGATGGCGTGGTTGAGCGGCTGCTGCCTCCCCGCTCCGTGTAGGCGTCGTCAGTCCAACTGTTGGCGCCGGGCCTCGGCAGGTCCACCCCACGCCCCTCTACCAACACCTGAATTTCAGCCCCGCCCTGATCGTCCACTGCGCTCTGCCGCATGAAGCAGGCGTTTCTGGGCCGGTGGACGTGCTTCTGCGGGCTGCGAGGGGGCGAGGTGGGGACGCTCAGCACGGGGCTGAGATCAGGTGTTGTTACAGGCGGCGTGGTGTCCGGAGTGCACAGCTCCGGACTGTCTGTTCCCGTGGAGATGACCTCGTGGTCTTTGTCCTTGGCGTCCTGGTGTTTGAGCGTCTGACATTCGAGCCCTAGGAGAGCGGGAGAGCAGGACCGGTGAATTAATTTGGCAAAGCTCCACAGTGAAACCCACAGAGAGAAGGTGTTTGAGTGCATGCAGGGAAGCAAAGAGGTGATGAGCTGAAACAAAGTGAACCTTATGCTGCTGATATTTATAGGAGTGAAAGCAAACTGCTGAATTTCTCAAGACACTTAAAAGAGGCCAGTAAAAATTAGCATCGATGCTAAGGTTAGCTAAAATGTAGCCAGTAGCATGTG